AGCCTGTGAGCTCCAACCAACACACAGATCTGACCATTCTGTCCCTCCCCTACCCAAGAGCCTCCCCCCGGTTCCCCTGTGCCAGACAGTTGAGAGCCCCAGGTCCTTATTCTGGCCTTTGAGGGCTCCACTATCTCTGGCCACTGCCTACTCTCTGGCCACCTGCTGTCAATGGCACGGTCATGAATTCATTCAACAATTATGCATTGAGTGTTACTACACACCAGGCACTGTGCTAGGTGTTGGGGACAGGGGTGTAACCCCAACAGACAAGGTTCCTGCTCTCGGGGAACCTGCAGCCTGGTGGGGAGAGAAAGACAAGAAGCTGGTTAACAAGCAAACAACCGCTCAACCGCAAACTATGCTGGGGGCCAGGAGGGAAATACACAGGGTGTTACAGAGGCACTAGTCAAGGGCCACACTTTAGTCAGGGGCTCAGGGAGGGCTTCTCCAAGGAGGTGATATTGGAGTAGAGACTTGGGTGAAGTGAGAGAGTGAGCATAGCTGGGGAAGAGTGTTCCAGGCAGAGGGAACTGCAAGAGTAAAGGCCCTGAGGTGGGAATGTTCCTGCATGTTCTAGGACCAGTAAGAGGCCCTGAAACAGAAAATGAATGGGCTAAAGGAGTAACTAGGCCGAGATCTCAGAGGACTTCAGGTCATGGTAAGGGCCTGAGTTTTATTCTGCATATGATGGGAAGATGGTGGAAGGCTTTAAGCAGGGGAGTGTCATGACCTGGGTTACATTTTAAAACAAGCACTCAGGCTTTTTGGATACCTGTTTGACATGGAGACCAAGGCTCAGAGAGGTCAAGTGACGTTCCCGAGGTCACACAGCTGGTGGGTCCAGCTGCCACCTGAGCCAATGCTGTCCAGCACCCCCACCAGCTCCTCACGAGTCTACAGTCATAAGCTTTCCCACTGGGCTCTCACCCAACACTCTGAAGTGAGGGAGTTAGCTTGCTTGTGCAGATGAGGAGGCTGGCTCACTTGTTCATGACCACAGACCAGAAGGCACGGGGTCCCAGAGTGGGCTCCAGGTCAGACACATTGGTTCAAACTCTGGTCCTACCATGAATTAGCTGGGAGATGTCTCGAACCTTTCAGAGCCTCAGTTTCCTCATCTGTGAAGTAGGGGTAACAATAACGTGTGATTTGGCCCCTGCTGACCTCTTCTGGCATCCCCCTCCCCCTCCTCTGTGCACTCCAGCCACCCTGGGCTTTCCTTGAAGGTATGAAGGTATCAGCTCATACCTCTGAAGGAACACACTGCCCTGGGTCTTTGTAAGCTAGTATCCTCATAGAGGTCTCTGGTCACCTCACAGAAACCCTCTCTGATGACCACATCTAAAGACCCCCTACTTCCATCACCTTCTCGCCCCCACTTTACATATTCATAACTCTTGTTACCGGCTGAAATTTGCCCGTTTCTTTGTTTCCCAGTTTATCGCTTGCCTCCTCCCTTCAAGAGCTCTGTAAGGATAGAATTGCCTGTCTTGTTCCATGCTGTGTCCTCGTGGCCCAGATATGCAGGGGCTCAATAAATATTTATTGAATGAATAAGTGAATGAACAGTACCCACCATTAAGGGCTGTTGTGAGATCTACGTGAGATAATGAATGGAAACTGCTTAGCACAGTGCCTGACACATAGTAAGTGCTCAATAAGTGCTAACTGCTATTATTGTCATTGTTACCAATTCTTTTTAAAATTTTATTTATTTTACTGTTGTTGAGAATATACCCAGCAAAACATACAGCAATTCAACAGTTTCTACACGTACAATTCAGTGACACTGATTATATTCTTTGACTTGTGCAACCATTCTCACCTTTCTTTTCTGAGTTGTTCCTCCCTCATTAGCATAAAATCACTGACTTCTAGGTTTCTTATCTAATCTTTTGAGTTGCTGTTGTCAGTTTGATCCCATATAGATAGATCTTAAAAGAGCATAATGCTCAAGGCAGACATTCTTTACTAGTTAAGCTGAAGTATTGTTTGGCTTTAAGAAGACTTCAGGGGATATTTTTGGTTTAAGGTTTAAAGATTATCTCAGGGCAATAGTTTCAGGAATTCAGCCAGCCTCCACAACTCCAGAAAGTCTGGATTCCATAAGAATTTGAAATCGTGTTCTGAATTTTCCCCCTTTTGATCTGGATTCTTCTATAGAATCTCATTACTATCTCTTGACTTTAAAGCCCATGCTCTAAACCACTCTGCTGATGATGAATTGAACCAAATTCCATCATCCCACCCTTGGTCTCTTGACCTTTACAGTGGCCTTTGATGCCAGACAGTGATTCATATAGTGAGCATTTCAGGCCTTGTGCTGGGGTGACAGCAGCGGCTGAGGGCAGGCAGGTCAGTCACAGTATGGCATGCACATGACCAGCCTCACCCACCGCCTGCAAAGACTCATGGTCTTCTCAGCCAGCCCCAAACTGGGAGGGGATGTGATAATGACAGGAGTGGAAAGGAAGGGAGTTTCCTTGCTGTTTTGGGATTCTAGGAGATGCTTCTCCCAATGGCCACTGGGTGGCAGCACTTCCCCGGGAATACGAGGCTGGGAAAGCGTTTTCAGGATTGACTCTGAGACTGGAAGCTGAATTCTCCAAGAGGACCTAGGCCCAGAGAGGGGCTAGGACTTGCCCAGGGTCGCACAGCTTTCTGTGATGTCACCTGCCTGCCTTGGACAGACTCCAGAGCAGCAGCAGGGGAGAAGGAAAATCAAGCTTGGAGATTGAAGGTTTGAGGACCAGCCACAGCCTTCTGAAATGTGCTCACCCCAACTTTGACCCCCAGAATCCTACCCATCCTGAGGAAGGTGCTCAAACAGTCCTCTCTGAGGCCCCTTCTGACCCCTTCTGACCGGCGACTCTGGCCGAGGTGGTGGTTTACTCTGTGTTCCCACCAGCCGTTTGTGATGGTCTTCAACCATGCCTGTCAGCTCTGCAGACTGTGATCCCCTGAAGACAGGGACTGTGCCTTGTCCCCCCCACCCCGCCTGCCACGGGAAGCCTTTGCACCAGCTGTGCCCCCTGCCTGTGTCTCCCTTCCCCTCTTCTTGACCCGTATACCACTAGCTGAGATGTCACTTCCTCTAGGAAGCCTTCTCTAGCCTTTGGCCTGGACAGGAGCCCACCTCTGGGCCTGCACAACACTCTGGGCTCCCTCCTGGACAGTGAGGCCCCTGGGGAAGGATCCTTGGTGTGCCCAAACAGGCCCACCCTGAGTCTGCACAAGTGCTGTACCTTCTGAGCCCCTGACACAGCGGTCTTCAACCTTCAGGGGGCGTTGAAGTCGCCTTTAGAGCTTTGTGAAAAAGCAGCCTCCAAGATCCCCTCTCCAGAGACTGCTCCAATAGGTCTGAGATGGAGCCCAGGAATCTGCATTAAAGACACTTCCCAGGAGTGTCTGATGCAGGGGCCTGAGCACCCTGAGGCCCTCTAACTGCCATCAGCTTTGCCTTCTGAAGTGGTTCGGCAAAATAATGATAATGAGGAATGACAGTAATAACCTCAGACATCTGTGCCAGGCGAATCACTTACAAAACTCTTTCACCTCCATTTCTCCTTTTTATTGTCATCTTTATAAACATCATCTTGGGAGGGACCATTATCCTCACTCTATAGACACCCGAAGCTCAGAGGCAAAGGGCAACTTGCCCAAGATCCCCCAGCTACAAAACGGCAGAGCCCAGGCTTAAGCTCGGGCTGCCCTGGGGTGGGAGAGCCACAGTTCACAATGGAAGATGCTGCTTTTTTGAAAACAGAAATTCTGGTCTAAACACAGGGCTCAGTGATTCCAGCCCTGTGGAGGGAGTCCAGGGTTCCAGCCCCAGTCCTGCCACTGACCACTTGGGCCAAGAGGGGAAGCTGCTTCTCTGAGCCTCAGTTTCCTTACCCGAAAACTGTGGCTGAGCATACTTGTTCTCCCCTTCCAGGGTCGCAGTGAACTTTAAACTTAAAATCCTGTGAAAGGGATCTGAACTGCAGAGAGGTACACATCTGCTGAGAACCATATTAACTCCCCAAGAAGGGGGGAGGTCGGGGCTTCCACCAGGCCTGGGGTATGTGGATAATCATCCTCCTACATCTCCCCTTCCTCCACAGCTAGGGAAGGAAGCTGGGCAGGCCTGGCCCCACGCTGCTTGGATGAGGTGGATGCCAGGGCCGGGAGAGCCAACCTCCTCCAGGGAACCTGCTTTACACAATAGCGGTGGCAGCAGGGGTTGGCAGGGAGATGCGATTCGGACTCCTCAGATGGGAGGCACTGATGGTGTTTCCTGAGCCCCAGGTAAATGGGGGCTGTGACCCTCACTGGGCCCCCAGAGGGCTGCTCCTTAGCACTAAGGAAGGAGATGGGGGTGCGAGGAATCTTTCATCAAATACCATAGTCTAGAACTGGAGCAGATAATAGAAAGTATCTACTTCCGTGTCCTAGTTTGTATATGGGGAAACTGAGGCATGTAAAGGGAAGGTAACTTGTCTGATCTGTCCTTAGTAGCAAACCCACTGAACGCACGTCTCTTGGCTCTCAGTATAGCGTGTCCTTGTTAAAGGGCACTGGACTGGGCAGCTGGTGTCTCGGGCTCAAGATCTGGATCTTATATCAATTTTGGGTGGCAATGGACAAAATCACTTCCCCTCTCTGGAATTTAGTTTCCAGCTGCGAAAGTGAAGTTGAGCTGAGGTCTCGAAGCGCCCTTCCAGCTGGCACTATCACTCGAGTAAAGGAGTCACCAGGCTTGGTCTAGGCCCACGTGCTGAAAGTGTAAAACGGAGTGTCTCGGGGTTTGCAGTCCACTGAACTTTGCCAGAGGTCCCCGGCACAGGGATGCTTTCGTTGCCACGGCAACCGTCCGGCCAGCACGGTCCCCTGCGTTCCGCTGACGGAGCTGGGAGGAACCCTGCCCTTACCAAGATGGCGGCGGCGAAAGGGCGAGGGGCGGGACTAAGCGCAGTCACCCCGTCCAGACCTTTCCTCTGTTTCCGCTTCTTCAAACCAACAGCGAGCCCCCCTCCATACCTGTTCTCTTTCCTGGTTCTGGGAGCCCCTGAAACCAGATACGAAAGGACTGCCTGCAGAGACTGGGGCAAGTACCCCAGAAAGAGGGAAGACGGGACTTCCGCGTCTCACCGGAAGTGACGCGACAGTCGCGGCGGCCGACAGGTGGAACGGCAGGTAGGTTCAGGTGCCAGCCTGGCCCGGTCCCGAGTGTGGGACCGACGCTTCCGGTGAGCGACAGAGGCAGTCCCCAAGGCCCTGGAGACCCGTTGGGCGGCCTTTGGGATTTGAGCCCTTCATCCTGGCTTGGAGTGCTTCTCTGTACCTAGTAAGAAGCACCGCCACCCACAGCCGGGACCCTCCGTCCTGAGGGGAGGGGGAGGTCCCGGCTCTCCCGGATCTTCAGGGCTAGAGTTGGCATGCAGGCACTTCGGTTCCCTGAACTCTACCCTCCTTTCTCTCCCGGATGCAGTTTCCCGTTCCCCTACCGAGGTGTGCAGTTAGCCAGCCCATCCCAACTTTCGGAACCATGTTTGCAGACTTGGATTATGACATCGAAGAGGATAAACTGTGAGTATTTTGTTCCCTCAAGTCCCGGGAGTGCAGGAGCGCCAGGTCCCTCAGATCCCTGGACTTCTCAGTTCCACAAACCCTTGCTCCTCTGCGGTGGGTCAGAACTTGTGGTGGAACAGAAACACACCCTGCCCTTCCAGGAGCTCACCATCTGTAGGGTGTTGTGGACACATTAGCAGACAGTTACAGCTCAGGACTGTAAGTGCCCTAATGGAGAGTGAACTGGCTACAAGGAGAGCAGAGTGGATGGAGCAGTGCTTCTGCTGGGGTGTTCAGGGAAGGCTTCACAGAGGAGGTGACAGTTGAGCTGAGTTTTGAAGGATGAATAGGAATGTCATAACCATACCTTCCTCCCTGATTTGGACAATTAGTGGGACAGAGTTTTAAAATTTAGGTTTGTCTCTGCATTAGAATGTGTACTCCATGAGAGCAAGGACTGGGCCCAATCAGTGCCTTTCTGTGTCCTCAGTACCAGTGGTATCATTAGGGTTGGTGTCACCCAGCATGGTAACTCATGATGTCACCCCTCCATGGACCTCCTCTCGTACCAGACCATACAGAATCCTTAGAAATGTTTTTTTGTACTGATTTTAATCATAAATCGTAATTTCTGTATATCACTACTTTTCACTTAATTACTACTTTGTTGTCAAAAAAGTTATTGATATAGGTTCACAAATGCTAATTACCACACTATTGTAGCTAAAACATCAAAAAATTTGACAGAATCAGCGACTGTAAAAACACCGGTAGCAACAAAAACAACAGCGTGTGCTTGTAGCGCATGCAGACAAAACCACGTGATTATAAGCGTTATTATAACTGGGTAATAATGATAGCTCTGACTGGGGGCATTAGACAGTTCGAAAAGTGAATTAGCATGGAGTTTTAGCCTTATAGGTATCTAGATACATGTAAACTGGGCTCAGGAAAAAATGTTTTTGTTATAACTACAGGGATATTTTCATAAAAAGTAATACATTTCTGCTGAAACACTGCACAAAAATTTTATAGACTGTCGTTTTGGTGTCACTCCCTCTGACAGTGTCACCCAGTGGGGTCTGCACCTCCCAGACCTCCCTAGTACTCGGCACTTAGTAAGGTGCTTGACATCATAGGGGGCTGGCAAATGTTTTTTGAATGAATAAGTGAATAAATGAGACTGTTTACCATGAAACATAAGTAAGTGCTAATTTATAGTGAAAACTGAGATGTAGAGTAATTGAGTAGATGGGAAGTGGGTAGTTGAACAGGGGAGGGCTTCCCAGAGGAGATGGCCATAATGTTCCATATGTACCTCGGAAGGTGACAAGGACAGAGGCTGAGTAAAATCTCAGAGACAATGAAGAAAAGGGAAGGGGAACTACTTTTATGGAGTGCCTACTCTGTGCTGGATTGGTGTTAAGTGTCTTCCATGCACTTCTTCACAGTAACTCTGGTAATAAGGTGGTCTTATTTTATGGATGAGGCAACTGAGATGCAGAGATGGTGACTTACCCATATCACATAGCTGATAAGTGGTAGAGCTATGATTTCATCTCACACTGGCATGACTGTAAAAGCTGTGCACTTTCCAGAACAAAATGCTGTCTTTCTGGTCACGTGAGGAAGAGCAAAGGTTAGGTAGCAGTTGGAGCCTCTCGGAGGTTTCGGAAGGCCCACCCCCTGCCCTGTGTTTTCTAGTCGTCCTTCCGTCAGGAGATTCAGCCTCATTCTTCTCTTTCTAGTGGAATCCCTACTGTGCCTGGGAAGGTGACCCTGCAGAAGGATGCTCAGAACCTCATTGGGATCAGCATTGGAGGAGGGGCCCAGTACTGCCCCTGCCTGTATATCGTCCAGGTATTGGGCTCTTTGGAGGTGGGGGCGAGGTCCTAGAAAGGGTACCTTCTTGCTTGGGCATGATGAAGGTAGGTTGATTTCTGCACTCTGCATGCGTAGCTGGCTTCTTCTCAGTCTTGAGGCACCAGACTTGAATAAGTGAATAAATGAAAAATGCCCTTCTCAGACAGGCCTGCCCTCTCAGTAGGTTTGCCCTTGTTTTTCTCTATCATTTCAATCTGTCCTTTTTTTTCCCAGCCCTTATCACTGTCTGTAATCATGGGTTTGTTTGCCACTTGTTCTAGACCTAGCTATTCTACCACACTCTTTGCACTATGAAGACAGGGTGCTTGTTTGCTTGTTCGCTGTGGTCAGCACCTAATACAGTGCCTGGCATGTACTGGATGTGCAATAAAAATGTCTTGAATGAGTCAGTGAAACCTTCGGTCTTGTAGTGGACAGATTTTGAAGTAAGAATGGCCTGAGTTTAAATGTAAGCTCCCCTTTACTAGCAAGCTGCTTAACCTCTCTGGGCCTCAGTTTCCTCACCTGAAAGATGGGGATGTAAAATACGTGTATGTAACTTTGGGTTCTTACGAGATTAAATAAAATGATGGAGCACAATGCCTGGCACTTAGTAAGCACTCACTAGACAGTTGTTAGGTGCCGTCGAGGTGATTCCAACTCAGTCACCCTGTGTACAGCAGAACGAAACCCTGCCCGGTCCTGCACCATCCACACAATCGTTATGCTTGAGCCCGTTGTTGCAGCCGCTCTGTCAGTCCATCTCATTGAGGGTCTTCCTCTTTCTCGCTGACCCTTTACCAAGCATGATGTCCTTCTCCAGGGACTGGTCCTTTCTGGTAACATGTCCAAAGTGCATGAGATGAAATCTCGCCATCCTCACTTCCAAGGAGCACTCTGGCTGTATTTCTTCCAAGACAGACTTGTTAGTTTTTCTGGCAGTCCATGGTATGTTCAATATTATTCACCAGCACCATAATTCAAAGGCATCAGTTTTTCTTCAGTCTTTCTTACTCATTGTCCAGCTTTCACATGCATTTGAGGTGATTGAAAACACCATGGCTTGGGTCAGGCGCACCTTAGTCTTTAAAGTGACGTCTTTGCTTTTTAACACTTTAAAGAGGTCTTTCACAGCAGATTTGCCCAATATAGTATGTCGTTTGATTTCCTGACTGCTGCTTCCATGGACGTTGATAGTAGCCACTGTTATTTTGATGGTCGTTGTTCATTTTCCCAGATGCTCTCCAGTGGTAAGGAACAACTTCGTGGCCCCTTGTAAAGAAGCTACCCTGATGATGCTTTTGTCAGCTGTGATTCAGGAATGGGGACAGGCCTGCCAGGAGCTGTCCTTGACCATGTGGCTGGTCAGAGTCAGCAGTCTTTCTGTAGCTTTGGAAGGAAGCCTGCCACCTCAAACATTAGGTGGTGGGACCTGTACATGTGACCTTGATTTTACCCTGTGCTAACCCTCTTAGCTAGGTAGCCATTGGTAGTAGGTGGGAAAACCGTGGTCTCTGTGTGGATCTTGGAAAGGGATTAAGGAGTCACTTCTAGGCTTTGAAGACGGATTTCCAGAATCTGGTCTTGCCTCTGCTTAGGGTTCTGACTTCAAGAACGATTTGACCTCCTGTGACCCAGAATGTGTTAGGAGGCCTGGCCTCGTTGCCATGAGCCTCCTCAGCCTCTTCTGGCACCTCTCCTCCCTACCTTTCAGTGTGAACTATGATTATAAAGGAATAGAATTGATTTTTTAAATACTAGATTTTATTTTTTATCAAGGTACTATTTGAGTTGCTTTAACAAGTCAAGAATACTAAAAGGCTTATGTGAAATGATAGCCATCCACTGCTTGTCCCTCCTCATGTCCCCCAGTCCCAGCAGCAACACCACTTTCCCCCCATTTGGCTGTTTGTTCCAGTGGGGGCTTCCATTTTTCTCAGTAAGACGCTTCTATTACATTTAGATCTATCAGTTGTGAACGTTATCTGTTGCCTTTTCTTAGTCCACTGGATGAAACATTAGCTCTCTTCTAAAACCACTCTGCTTCTTCTCATCCTGTCTTCCCAACATAGTTATATTGTCATTTTTTGGCTAAATCAATATTAATGTGAAGATATTTTGTTCAGAAAATGTTTTCTGAGTGCCTACATTGGGCCAGGCTCTGTTGTAGGTACTAGGGATAGGGCAGTGAAGAAAACAAAGATCTTGCCCTTCTGGAGCTCTCATTCTAGTGGAATGTTAACATACTGACTCTTTTACAGACTGGACTCTGCTGAGCTTAATGACCTTCTATGATATTGCTTTTTTTTCTTAATTCAACTTTTTTTCTCTCTTTTAAAAAAATTTCTTTCTTTCTTTCTTTTTTTTTTTTTTGCATTCTCCTTGTACTTTCAAAAATTTTCTGTAGTCAAACATTTCCCATCGTCTGCTAGTCTCTTTCACCCTGTGGTCTTTCCTTCTTGAGCTCTCCCCCTTCCTGCACAGCTGTCCTTTCTGAGAATTCCCTTTATCTCTCTCCTCTGTTGGATTTCCCCATCTCTGGAATCCCCTTTCTTGGTTTACTTCCTCATCTTGGTGGAGCACGTGCTCCTGTAGCTTTCTGAGAAAGGGCACATGAGAAGTAAATTCTTTGAGACCTTGTATCTCTGAAAATACCATTATTCTGTCTTTTTTGTTGTTATTGTTATTTCCATATTCCCTTTGATTAACACTTCAGCTGGTCAAATTCTAAAATGAAAATCAAGTTTGAAAATAATTTTCACTTAAATTATTAGAGGCAGTGTTAGAGGGGGCATAGTCTACAAGACCGCCCTCACTTTTAACACCAATTGCATGTTTGGGGTCCCCAGAACCACCCTCAGATTTCTTAATTTGCTAAAAGGACTCACAGAACTCTGAAAGCTTTCGTACTCATGGTTAAAGTTTATTACAGGGAAAGGATACTGATTAAGATCAGCTAAGGGAAGAGAAGCATGGGACAGAGTCCAGGAACATTCCAAACATGGAGCTTCCGGTTATCGTCTCCCCATGGAGTCATGGACAGTGTTAACTCCTCCCAGCAACAATGTGTGACAGTGCTCATGGAGTATTACCAACCAGGGGAGCTCACCCAAGCCTTGGTGTCCATAGTTTTATTGGGGCTCCATGGTTGACTGCCTGCACAACTATTGTTTAGTCTCCAGGTCCTCTGGAGGTAGAGCTGCTACCTTTGGTCTCCAAAACCTCTGCAGGTAGAACTGATACCACGTGGCTGATATTTAGTCTCCAGCCCCTCTGGAGGTAGAGTAGATACTGCGTGGCCCCTGTCATAAATCACACTGTTAGACTGTCTTGCTGCCAAGGCCTCCAGGTAAACAAAACACGAAACCCATTGCCATCGAGTGAATTCTGACTCATAGCGAACCTATAGGACAGAGTAGAACTGCCCTATAGGGTTTCCAGGGAACAGCTGGTGGATTCAAGCTGCTGACCTTTTGCTGACCACCGCGCCACCAGGGCTCCACTCAGGCCTTTTAGGAACTTCTTTTTATCACTGGTATTCTGAAGAGTCGTGATGATGACTCTTGGCACGGGCCCTTATTTGTTTATGGTGCTGGGTCTTCACAGGGCACATTCAGTGACAGGTGTCATGTCTTTCTTCTGTGAAAGTTTCTTTTTGATGATTCCTTGCCCTCCATGTTTTCTTTTCTGTCTTTGTGACACTCCTTTTGGTTCTTTGTTAGGCTTCCTGGATTGATCCCCGCCCCCATCATCTGGCTCTTTTTCACTTTACTTGGTTTGCATAGCTTCTTTGGAATTAATTTATATTTTGCATTTGTAAGAGCTTTCTTATTTCCTGATTGATCTTATAACATCATCCTGTTCTTATTTCTCTAATCACTTTGAAAATGTTAATTGTGAGGTTTTGTTTCCTGCAGTCCTTTTTTTGTTGATGTGGTTGGGTGTCTTTCTTGTGTGGGAAGCTTTCCTCAAATGCCCGGTAATCCTTGTCTGTCTCGATATTTAAGAGTGAGACCCTAAATAGGTTTTGAAGTTCTGTGTGTAGGTAGGTCTTGTTAACTGGTGGCTTTCCCTGTGGGGGTGGTCAGCCAGCAGACAAGCTGTGTTGGGGACTCTCCAGGTGTCTGAGTCTAGAGGCCTTTTGTGTGGTGCTGTGCAGAGCAGGCGCCTCAGTCTCCTCAGGAAGGTAGTAAGCCTGGTGCCGGCGTTCTGGGGGCTGCTAGACTTTGGGGAGCTTTGATACTCACTCTTCAGTGTGTAAACATCCTCTAATCCCTAATGGTTTCTGTCCAGTGGCTCACCTCTGCCCCCTCTGTCCCTGGTCCCCGGAGTTGGGAGCTTCGCTAGAGAATAAATTTCCTCCTCTCTCCTCCCCACAACCAGAAGGGGTAGTGGAGGTGCCAGGCTTGCGGTGGTGGGGGGAGCTTAGAGTTGAGTGCATCCGTCTGCTTTCTACACCTTGCTCCCCATCCACCTGTGGCTGTTTCCAGAGGTCCACTTCCTGACCTTCTGGCAACTTCCAGCAAAGATTGGCTCTTTCTCGTTGAGCTCCTTCTGCAGGCCCTTGGAGTCCTGCTTCCTGCATTCTGCTGACTCTTCTGTTACCACTCCCCGTCTTCCAAAATCATTTAGACATCCCTCGTTTGTGGTAGTCTCCTCTACTGCTCTTTTTTTTTTTTTTTTTAAAAACCTTTATTGTTTTTTTCAGCGTGTTTTTGGACTGTAACCGAAAGAAATATTTATCTTATTTATTACATTTCTCCTTTATTATAAACTGTTCTTTCTACATACTTCTGCTGGAAAATTTAGGAACTAAAGATAAGATAGAAGGAAGACAATGCCAGGTAACCACTGTGAGTAATTGTGGTCTCTCTCCCAGTGTCTTTTTTTCTGGATACAATGTTTATATCCTGTGCCCATTTCTGCAAACACTTGCGTAGCCTTTTGTTGTTGTTGTGAGGTGCCATTGAGTCAGTCCCAACTCATCGCAACCCTCTGTGCAACAAAACAGTACACTGCCCGGTCCTGCAGCATCCTCACAAGCATTATACTTCAGCCCATTGTTTCAACCACTGTGTCGGTCCATCTTGTCAAGGGTCTTCCTCTTTTTTGCTGAACCTCTACCTAACCAAGCATGATGTCCTGATCCCTCCTGATAACATGTCGAAAGTACGCGAGACAAAGTCCTTGCTTCTAAGGAGCATTCGGGCTGTACTTCTTCTAAGACAGATTTGTTCGTTCTTCTGGCAGTCCACGGTATATTCAGTATTCTCTGCCAACACCATAATTCAGAGGTGTCCGTTCTACTCTTCCCTTATTATAAGCACGACTCACATAGCTGACCCTTGTCAGACACGCCTAGCCTCACAGCCAATGATTGCCAACCCACTGAAGGGGTCCCCTGGGGAGAAGGGCTGGCACACATGTGGGGCCCTTGCTCAGGGCAGCCCTGGGCTTAACTCTTTGGGGCCTAAGGTGAGGTGCAGGAATTGACCAGAGGTTCTTTGAAGCTCCAAGTCAGCTTGGTTGGAAAAATCTATCAAAGAAATGACTTTGGTGGAGCGAACGGTCACATGGGTGTGCAGGGTTTGGTGTATTTGATATTAGAACAGGCAGGTCTCATCAGTTTGCATTTAGGTTCTGCCTCCTTCCCCTCCCCTTAAGGATGTCTGTTTAGCAGCTCTTGACCCCTTACCCTTCTTGAACATCACTTAGAGACCGGAGGAGAGAGCTCAGGGCAGAGCCAGGTACCGGCTGGGGTGGGGGGAATGATGTGCCTCCCCGCACCGGTTTCCTCTCAATTCTCCTTTCTCCCTACCCCCATCTTCATGACGCATCCCCAGGTGTTTGACAACACCCCGGCAGCCTTGGATGGCACGGTGGCAGCTGGAGATGAGATCACTGGTGTCAATGGCAGGTCCATCAAAGGAAAAACTAAGGTGGAGGTGGCGAAGATGATTCAGGAGGTGAAGGTAAGGCCCCACAGGCCTGGAAGGGGGCCCAGCCCTCTCACCGCTCCCCTCCTTGGTGCATCAGGGTCCAGGCCACACCCTAGCCTCCCTCAGTTTATCCCTCATCCAGTCAATATATGTGATTGTGCTCCAGGGCTCGTGCTGGGCCCTGGCAAGAGAGTGGGCAACAAGACCGCCAGTTCCCTGTCCTCCTCAGGCTCCCAGGGGACTGACAGACTTGAGCCTCGCCTCAGGGCCAGCCAGCATGTCCCAGTCAGGGCTGGAGCTGAAGGTAGTCATCCAAGGTGAACGCACCTGGGTCAGTGGGCACCCAATAAATGCTGAGCCTAGAAGGGGGTGAGAGGGAAAGAGGACCCCCCTTTTCCCTCCCCTTAGGAACTTTCAGGCCAGGGACCTCTCTGGGCTCCGGGGCAGCTCCCAGTGAGGCTGCTGGCCTTCTCTTCTGCAGACCACAGTCACAGGCCACCTGCTTCCCTGCTTGCCCCACCCCAGCTGCTCTAGGCCAGGGCCTCTCTCCCTAGAGAACCTTCCTGACTGGCAGGCAGCGCCCCTGCATCCATTCCTGGAAACAGGCATGCAGCCCTCTTGCCCTTTCCTAGAGATCTTGCAGCTCCTAGTTCCTAGGAAACCAGTACAGTGAAAGGACCAGCATGAAGGAGGCCCAAAGCCACAGGACGATTTAAAAGTCTTAGAATCAAGCCGGGCATTGCTGCCTGTAAATGGAGCTTGGCCGAATGTTTTAGCTCCCTTGCCCCATCCATCCACCCCACTCTCACCCACCAGCCACCCACCGCATATCCATCCTTCATGTCTTGAAGACCCCGTACCAACCCTCCCATCACAGTCCCTCTGTCTTGCCTTGACCCAGGGTCAGCCTCCTCTTCCTCTTCTCCCTTTTTCTTCTCCCATCCTGCTTCTGAGTCATCCCCACTACTTTCACTCCTCCCTCCTTTAGGGGCTACCTCAGCCCCTGGAGCCAGAGGGTCATGGGGGAGGGGCTGGGCCAGTCACAGAGCATCATTGTGCAAAAGGACCTGAGGAGGCTTGCTTAGATCCAGGCGCCACTCTGCATTGCCTGGGTGTTACCATCAGGTGTTACCTTTTGGGCAGAGGAGCTAATCATGGGAAACGGGAACGGTGTTTCACTCGGGTACAGAATTGGACTCTGTGCAGGGCTTTGAATTGATTCGCTCCAGTTTGAACTCCTGTTGAGAGTTTGCATTTCCACCCAGGTATACTGAATCAGAATCTACATTTTAACAAGATCCCCAGGTGATTCTTATGTATGACAAATTTTGAGACGTCTGCTCTACTAGTGGTTCTCAGAATTGGTCCCTAACCAGCAGTATTAGCATCTTGTTAGAAGTAGAAATTCTCAGCAGGGGTTTGAACCAGAAGCCCTGGTTCTGTGGCCCCCTTCCTCACCATCCCCCCATCTCTGCTCACCGGCCCCCTCACCATCCTTCCAGGCCTGTCTCGCACTGTCCCTCCTTAAATCGTGGCACCATGTTGCTCGTGAGGACCAGAGCTCCTTGTGTTTGTCCACAGCTGTGACACTGTTGACAAAGGGAGTCCCCAGCTCCGGCAGGGCTCACTGTCCCCGTGGATTGGCAACCTGAGGGAGGAGGTGATTCACAGCCCGGGCTGGATTCCCACTGCAGTGCTCTCCTTTACCCCTCACTGCTCTCCGGGGTGCGCCCCCAGCACACTCTGTGTTGTAGTCTGGGGTTGCGTTTGGCATCCCGCCTCCTGCTCAGAGCTTCTCCAGGACAGAGCCTGTGTCAGGTCATTTTGGTTTCCTTTCAGGGCTCACTTATTTAAGTCCTGTTTTATAGTTGAATGGATTCAGTCCCAAGTTCAAGGGCCTAGGATTGCTGGGGAGAGAGTGACCACGGTGGCCTGATGTGGCCAGGGAAGGCCTCTCAGAACAGGCGACACTCCCCTCAGAGCCCTCTTCTGAACGGTCTCTGCAACAGTACTTGACCTCCCCTGCCGGGCTTGGGCCCATGGGAGCTGGAGCTGCCCCTGCCCCTTCTCCCTGGCACCCTAGCACCAGGCATAGAGAAAACAAACAAACAAACAAAAAACCCATAGCCGTTGAGTCAATTCAGACTTATAGCGATCCTATAGCTCAGAGTAGAGCTGCCCCATAGAGTTTCTAAGGAGCACCTGGTGGATTTGAACTGCCAACCTTTTGGTTAGCAGCCGTAGCGCTTAACCACTACACCCCCAGGGTTTCCAGACACAGAGAAGGTCCTCAGAAATGTCTGTTGAATGAATGGAGAGAGTCCTGAAGGATGGGGATGATTTAGAGCAGGGGAAAGGCTGTTCTAGCGGGAAATGGCACAGCAAAAGCTTGTAGCATGGTGTGGGGAGGGCAGGGGCGCCCGGTCTGGCTGGAGCACAAGACATCAGAGACCGCTAGACCAAGTGCTCTGTGACGGCTGGGACCACGTCCACCCTTGTTCCCGTGGATTCCCCAGCGCCTGGCATGTACAGTGGAGAAGGGAGGGACCTGGGAGCAGATGGCTTACACACACGGCCCTGTCACAGCCCTCCACCTGCCGGGGCTGAATTCATCGTTGCTCTGGCCTCTTATCAGAGCCCAGGATTCTGGCACAACCAATGGATTCCGCGGCCAACAGGCCTCACCGTTGTGGGGCTTGGGGTCCAGGAGATTCTGCCACAACCCTGCCTGTCCTGCTCTTACAGGGGGAGGTGACCATCCACTACAACAAGCTGCAGGCGGACCCCAAGCAGGGCATGTCCCTGGACATTGGTAAGCTGGGCCCATACCCCACCGGCCCCAGCCCAGAGGAGAGCCCAGCCTCTGTTCTGCTGTCTTGTGACATCGGCGTTGATAGTTACGGGGCCAAGTTCTCTGACTTTGTCAGACCAAGCAGATCTGAAAGAGCCAGGAGGACCGGGGTGCTCTCCCTGCAACGCCTTCCAGGGACCTGCCCTTCATGTCTTATGGCCTGTGTTTCACCATGCCCACCCCGGGTCGTCTTCTCTGGAAACTTGCTTTCTAAGGTTGTCGTTTGTCAGCTAGTCCCTCGGCCTCTCCAGGCCCGGGTCCTTGCCCTTTAGAAAGGGAGGACGACCTGACCTCGGCCTAGTACCTCTGACCCACCAGCACCCCTCCTTGGCCTCTTCTGCCCGGCTGCTCCTAGGAGGGAACTAAGACCTGGGCAGAGGGTCACAGGCCAGCCATCTGTCCCCAGCACTCCCTCTGTGTGGGACAGGGGCAAGGTGCCTCCTGCTGGGGGCGCTGGGCCTGGGTTGTGTAGAAACTTTAAGACGCGAGCTGGGCAGTACCTTCAAGGGCCTCTGACCCAGCCACTTGACCTTACAAATAAGGCCTGAGACCCCAAGAGGGCCCTGTGCCCCCAGGTGAGACGGGCCCCCCGCTCTCTTGCCTCTGGAGCCCAGTGGCCTTTCCTATGCCCTAGAGTCAGAGCTCCTTCCCGGTTTGTAAGGGCACAGTGAGTCTGTCCTGCACCCTTCCAGAGGCTCAGCTGGTCCTGTGCCAAAGCTGAGTCTGGGTCCGAGTCACTTGTCACTGTGCCCATTACTTTGACTAGCCAGGGATTGACCTTTCCCCCCTGCTCCCTTCATACTCGGATGCCCCAGGTTAGGACGTGGAGAGCGAAGGGGAAGAGACTCCCTGGGAGCTGTCGGCCATGCTGAGCCCACACCACTCCGGGACTCTGTGATAGCCAGGAGCTGACTGCGTCCCAGGCCTGGCGAAGCCCTTTACATATTTACCTCCTTTCGCCCTCACCCACCTTTGTAAGGTAGATAGTGAAAGGGGCAGGGGGCCCAGTACCCCCCTATTGGGGTACCCCCTTGCTTCATGGCTCACCTGAGTACCAAGCCCCAGCTTAGCCTCTTCTGCCCCTGGTGGTTGCTCCCAGTGCGTCGTGATGCGCTGGGGCCAGGATGGGCTGGGGGCCCAGCTGCAGAGTTGACCCCGTGGCTCCTTCTCTCCTGGCCCCAGTGTTGAAGAAGGTAAAGCACCGGCTGGTGGAGAACATGAGTTCGGGGACCGCAGATGCCCTGGGCTTGAGCCGGGCCATCCTGTGCAATGGTGAGTACCCCCCTTCCCACCCAGCCTGGGCCCTCGCCACTTGAGCACCGTGGCTGTCCACCAAGCCCAAGTGGCTCCCCTGGCTTGGCCCTGGCCTCTGCCTGTGGGGCCAGTAGTCACCATCTCTTAGTGCCCCCAGGGAGTGTCCACATCTGTCAGCTGTGCCCCCTGGAAATTAATAGGCCCAGGTCACAGATGAGGAAAACTGAGATGCAGAGTGGGAGGGCCTCCTTCTAGTCCCGAGCTGGGGAAGGCAGAGCCGGGGCCAGCCTGCGAGACCGTGCCTTCCCCACTGTCCCCAGCTGCTCTCACCTCCCCAGGCCGCAGCCCCACCTCCTCTGTGTGCCCGTCCGACCCCTCACCCCAGCACCCACACTCTTCTGGGCCGCCTGCCACGATCCTGTCTTTCTCCAGGAGGTGGCGCTACTGCCCTCATCCCAGCAGCTCTGCCCAGAGCTCCCTAGGTGGCTGCCCGCTCCGCAGCAGGGGAAGAGCCACATACTCACACATGCACGTGTGCACGCATGCACACACATGTGCGTGCGCACACATACGTTTCACCCTGGGTGGCCAGTAAAACATGGTCCTACTCCCACCATCACAGCCTGAGTTTATAAATAGTGCTCTTGCTGTGTGTTGGGGGCATCGATATAAATATCTATATGAAGTGGCGGCTCAGCTGGGCACACACACAGCGCTTTATTGGCTGGGGATGTGGGGGTGGGGCCTGAGCGTGTTCCAAATGGTACAAAAGTGGTGGCTGCTATTTCCAGCCTCTCAGGGCCTATAAATCCCTGGTACTGTAGTTAACATGTGTGGAGATGAAATTAGAACTGGTTGTTGTGTTTTTCCCCCAAACCTTGCAATTTCCCCAGCCTTAAATAGGGTTTCTAAAATTGAAGCTGTCATGATGTCCCATGACCCAGCTAAAAACAACAGTACAAGTGCTTACGTGGCTCTGGCCCTGCCGGCTGGCCGGGCGCCAGGGCGCGGGCAAGCCAGGGCCTGAGGCCATCTAGAGTGGCTGAAGCCTCCTGAAGACACCCCAGGTGCCCCCTTTCTTCCTCCAGAGTCTGAGCCTTCCTCCCCCAGAGCCCTGTCACCCAGCTACCTCCCCTGCCCAGAGCCAAGACCCAGACTCAGCCTCCTCTCTCCCCTCCTCCCTCGCTCAGAAATCCCCAGCGAGGTCAGCATGGGGGACTGTGTGGCAGAGGGCACTCGCATTGACAGTCCCTGGCTGTGCAGCCCCAGGCAGGTGGCTTTATTCTCTGCCCCTGGGTTTTCTCTGTGAATGGGGGAGGGGGGTGGGTAGCTGTTGGTCCCTGCCCCAAAGGCTGCTGTTGAGGACTAAGACGAGTCATCTGGCAAGGAAGCCACTGATATGCCCTCCAGCTGCTCCTGTGGGAAGGTGGGTGACACTTCATCTTCATCGGGACAGAGGTCCCATACAGAGCGCAGGGGCAGCCCGAGGGTTCTGGCCCTGGCTTGTCTTGTTAGCCCACTACCCCATTCTGTGGGCCTGTCTCAGGCTCTGGCACATGGTAGATGTTCAGTAAACACCCGCAACGCAGATGTGATCGCCAAGGCCTCCCTCCAGGGCTTTCTGGAAGCCCTTCCTGAGTTTTTCTCTCTCCTCCCCAAGTCATGCTGTCCCTCCTCCTGAGATGTCACACATGGTAGCTTCTGTGGTAGTGACTGCATGTAGCTGCGTTAGTGATTTCTGCTCCATCGTATCCTTTCTACTTCTTTCTGACTGCCTGCTGGGCTGTTGGCCAGGTTTGCGTTAGAGGTGGGGGGACCCTTGACTGCCAGGCAAGGGGCATCCTTCTGCTGGTCTCAGGGAGCCCCCGACGAGTTTCGTCTTGGGCTTTTTCACTCACGATCTTTGGAAGTACCTGATTCATCGTCAGCCATCTGCCCCCTTGATTCACCCCAGCCTGCTGGGCGAGGCCTCATCTTGGGGGTCCCTGAGGGCCGCCCTGCCTATCCCCTACTCTCCTCTCATTTGGGTGTGCTGGGCTGTTTACAAAATACCTTTGAACCCACTGACCCTGAGATGCCATTACCCCCTCCCTGGGACCCAGTCTCATCAAGGGGTCACCTCTCCCTGCTCACACCTGCCTCTGGCCCCCTGGGCCACCTCTTCTCCCCCGGGGCTCGCTGAGTCCAACTGAGAAGACCACTTCTGTCTGGGTCCCCACAGATGGGCTCGTCAAGAGGCTGGAGGAGCTGGAGCGGACGGCTGAGCTGTACAAAGGTGGGTGGACGACACCTTCAGCTGGCAGCCTTGGGGGGTGAGGGGCAGGAGTCCTGGTCTAGGAAGTATCCTGGTCCTGGAGAGCGCTGGGAGTAAAGATGGTGGCAGTGGGGGGCAGGAATGCCAGGCTACAATGTTCTAGGACCACGGCCATTAAAAATTCTTTAAGATACACCCTTTTGCTGATAATAGAAGTCATACATACCTGTAAAAATTCAAATAATAGTACATATAAACGTGGCGAGAGTCCCCAGGACTCCCCTCCCCCAGAGATAGTCTGCCACCTTGATATCCTGCGGCCTTTGCAGCCCTGGCGCCCTCTCTGTTAGGCCTTCTCAGGCGGGGCCAGGGCAGCAGCTGAGCCTTCAACCCTAGGCCCTAGTGGGATCATGGGACAAGTCAGGGAACTCAGATCCAGTGAGGGCCTCAGGTGAGGGGTGGGGGGTGGAGATAGTGCTACTGGTCCCCCTCAGTCCTGTCTCTCTACAGGGATGACGGAGCACACCAAGAACCTCCTACGGGCCTTCTTTGAGCTATCACAGACACACCGGGGTAAGGGCATCCCCATCTCTGCTCCCATCTACCCCAAACCTGCTGGGTGAGCCCAGGCGACCCCCACCCCTCTGGGCCCAGCGTGCCCTGTCCAATGAGAGCGTGGCCCAGCTTCTCTTGGGTCTTCTCACACCTGTGCATGGCTGACTGTGGCCGCTTTGGGCCCCTGCCTTACGTGGCAGCTCTCAGAGTCCTTGTCCTCTGCTCTCTTGTTCCCTGCCAGTTGTTCACGCCTAGTCCTTCAGTGGGGGTGTGCTGTGGGCTTAGCCCTGAGCTGGGCCCCTGGGCCTCACACAAGCCTCGCGTGCATCCAGGTGCAGAGCTGGTAGCGCGGGCAGTGCCCCTGAGGGCACACCACCACCAGCGCGGGCAGTGCCCCTGAGGGCACACCACACGGGAGGTGGCTCTGTGGTACAGGCATCCACCCAGCCCCCTCCATCCCACAGCATACACCGGCTCTCTCCATGGGCTGGGCGCTTTCCTAGATGCAGGGGATGTAACGACAAACAGGAACAGTGAGAAGCACCTACACCAGATGGTCTTCTTGGGGCCTAGCTGCTCGTCTGGCCCATCCCATCTGTGTGCACCACCACTGACGGTGTGTGAGGCATGTCCCTATTCATGATCTCGCTCCCCACAAGGCCTTTAGCTGGGCAGCACAGACACTGTTTACCCCACTTTGCCAGACAGAGGAGATGATCACACAGCTCCTAAGGGGCGGAGCTGGCATTAGAGCTCATGTCCAGATTCCCGGACCTGTGCTCTGGCCTCAGACAAGGGTGCCTTCTCGAACCTTGACCTAGCCTTCTCCATGGTCTGGTCACTGGGGAGTGAAGGCCAGCTCCCTTGGGGGTGTAGACTTAGCTTCCTCAGAATGTAGACCCAGCTCCTTCGAGGTATAGACCCGGCTCCCTTGGGGTGTAGACCCAGCTCCCATGAGTTGTAAACTCAGCTCCCTCAGTGGTGTAGCCCCAGCTCCCTCACGGGTGTAGACCCAGCTCCCTTGGGGTATAGGCCTAGCACCCATGGGTTGAAGACCCTGCTCCCACGGGATATAGACCCAACCCCTCACCACCTCCCTTGGAGTGTGGACCCTGCTCTCTCAGGGCATGGACCCTGCTCCCCCTCAGGGCGTGGAACCAGCTCCCTCTGGGCGTGGACCCTGCTCCCTAGGGGCATAGGCCTAACTCCCTTGGGATGTTGACCCAGCTCCCTTGGGCCATGGACTCCATGCAGATCTTGGCCTCCAGCCTGCCAGGCCCCCAGCCCTGCTGCTCCCTCCTCTCCTCCACAAGCCCCTAGCATCTCCATTAGGGGGTCCAGTAGGGATGGCCTTTAAGGCAGACTTGTCGCGCAGCCTTTGGGGACGTGTTCTCCGTGATCGGGGTGCGGGAGCCCCAGCCAGCCGCCAGCGAGGCTTTTGTGAAGTTTGCCGATGCCCACCGCAGCATTGAGAAGTTTGGCATCCGGCTGCTGAAAACCATCAAGCCGGTAGGTGATGTCGAGCATGCGTGGGTCCAGCATGTGAAGGTCCTGTGTTGGAGTTGGCCGCCCACTGACCACGGCTGACATGGGTAGGCCACCTGCCTCCTTGGGCCTCAGTGTGAGCTCCAAGCTGGCTCCTGGCCTGGCTTCACCCCTGTTGCAGTTCACCCGTGGCCTGGCCTCAGTCTCCTCGTCCTTGAAATGGACAAGGCTATCTGTAGTGCTCTTTGGCTCTGACAGTCTGAGTCCCCTGGGAAGGATGACACATCAGTGTCATTCTTTGTCACCCTGGCCCAGCCCGGCCATGGGGTCCTTAGTATTGACACACCCCCTTCCAGATGCTGACAGACCTGAACACGTACCTCAACAAAGCCATCCCGGACACTCGCCTAACCATCAAGAAGTACCTGGACGTGAAGTTTGAGTACCTGGTGAGTGGTCTGGGTGTCTGGGAGGACGGGGTCTGGCCTTCGGGTCTGAGCTCACCCAGGGGTTTAGCCCGCTCAGTTGGCGGCACTTGGCCAGCAGGACGGGCAAGGCTCTGTCTCATCTGAGGATGTGGAACTGGGGCTTGGGAGGTGCCCAGGGACTCAGGCTGCAGTGTAGGCCCTGCCCTGATGCTCTGAGGAGCCTCCAGGAGCTGAGCGCCGGGGTGGGCAGGCACCACCCTCTGGACCTGTCTGAATCTTGGGATTTTTCCCGTCACCTTGAACAGCGGCCTTAGACTAGGTGAGTGGTGGAAACTTGAGTGCTAAGGAATGTTGATGGGTTTACGTGGTCAAAGGATTGAGAAAAAATGCTCCACTAAACAAGCTGAGGCTCCTTTGCTGCAGGCCTTCTCAGAGCCTTTGATAGGCCTGTGCGCAGCATGCATCTTCAGAGTTTTCCCAAATGCCTTCAACCATGGAGCCTCTTTTCTCCAGAGCATCTCTTGGAGCTTGAGTTTGGCAAATGCTCAGGCCTTAGGCCCTGCCCACCTTTCCAGATGAGTGCCCCCCGCTTGCTGCCACTCCCTCCCTGGGTCCCCAGAGCAAGGCCAGTCTGAGTGAGGTGCTCCACCCACCCCTCCTTGACACGTCTTAGCCTGTTCCAGCTGGGTGTCTGCAGGGCCAGGAGGTCTGGCCTGGCTGCTCCTCTGGATTGGCCCAGCATCCTGGGGTGGCCTGGGGGATAGTGTGGGGCCATCAGGGTGGGCGTCCAGGAGGCCGCAGCCACTCTGACAGCCTGTCCTCGCCTGTCCATAGTCCTACTGCCTGAAGGTGAAAGAGATGGACGATGAGGAATACAGCTGCGTGGTGAGTGTCGCGCAGGGTGCGGGGGGTGTGGCCTGGCACAGGAAAGGCTCGGGGTACACATCCCTCCTGCCACCTGTCTCACAGAACCCCCAGAATGTCCTGAGACTGCCAGGGACCCCAGGTGGGTCAGGCCAGCCTGGGAGACGCCTGGGGGCTTGGCTGGACTCTTGTCCCTGGAGACTCGGGGCCTCCATCCCCGGCCCTGGTGCCAGCCCTGCTGGCCTCGGGTGCTCCCCTGCCACCCCCAGACCTTAGGAGGCTCTTGCAGGGAAAACCCTGACTTTCCTCACTCCTCAGAGGTGCTTTTTCTTTATTTTTAATATTTTTGGTATCAGGCTGCACCTTATGATCAAATGTTCGTTGATTTAAGGTGGCAGGGGTTTGAATTGTTTGGTGGTTTTTTTTTCCTTCCAAAGGTATTGCTAGGTGCTTCTAACAATTGCTGGCCTCTCGGGAACCAGCAGCTGGGTAGCTTTGAGAGGTCCAGTGTGGTGTAGGGTATGAGCTGGTGGGGTGGCTCTGTGGCCTGCCTGGCCCCTGCCCACAGCTGTCCTTCCTCCCCCGCCCAGGGTCACTAATGTGCTCCCCCTACCCTCCAGGCCTTAGGGGAGCCCCTGTACCGAGTGAGCACAGGCAACTACGAGTACCGCCTGATCCTGCGCTGCCGCCAGGAGGCCCGCTCCCGCTTCTCCCAGATGCGCAAGGACGTGCTGGAGAAGATGGAGCTGCTGGATCAGAAGCACGGTGAGTGGGTGGCCTGGGCACCAGGTGGGCTGGCCCCGCTACCTCAATCAGTCCTTACGTCATCTTCGGTATGGTAGGGTGGGCTCCCCATTTCAGACATGGGGAAACTCAGGCCCCGAGGGGTAAAGCCACTTAACCTGAGGTCCTGGGCCCTAGCAGAGCTGGGAGTCAAGGGTGAGGGCCTGGTCCCTGCCCCTCGGGCTCCCTGAGATGAAGCTCACAGTCCACTCACATTGCAGGGCTCCTTGGTCCCCTAGCCTGGGAGCTGAGGACCTGGGTTCTCCTGTGTTGGCCGCCGTGTCTGGCTGGGCAGCCCTTGCCTCCACCCCTCCTCCCAGGGTTCAGTGAGGGGAGGGGTCTCGGGCAGGCCTGGCGGGTGACTGGCAGCCACAGCCATGGCGCCCTGGCCCCCTCTCCCGCCCCAGTCCAGGACATCGTGTTCCAGCTGCAGCGCTTCGTGTCCACCATGTCCAAGTACTACAACGACTGCTACGCTGTGCTGCGGGACGCCGATGTCTTCCCCATCGAGGTGGACCTGGCGCACACCACACTGGCCTACGGCCTCACCCAGGAGGACTTCATCGATGGGGAGGACGAGGAGGATGATGAGGAGGAGGACACGGCAGCCAGGGAACCGTCCCAGGATGCGCGAGGGGCTGCCAGGCCCCTGGACAAGGATGGAAGCTGGTGTGGCTCCTGAATGCCCCCATGGGGTGCGGATCTGGGGGGTAGGGTGAGTGGGAGGAGGACAACAGGGGAGCGGGATGGGGCCACCAGACCACAGGGTGGCGCATAAAGCCATAAAGCCTGCTGGCTTGGGGCGCCTGCCTCCCTGCTCCTCTGTCCTAGCACAGTGAGCCTGCTGCCCTGCCAGGGAACACTGGGGCATGGCGCAAGACCTGGACACTGGCCCCTCCAGCCTGCCTTCCCCACCTCCCCAGCCCGATGGAGAGTCTGGTTTCTGGACCTGCCTTGGGAGGGAGAGGGCAGAAGGAAGAGGGGTTGGAGGTGGCATAAAGTCCAGGATCAGTCCTCGTGGGTCACCTTCACTGGCCCCCTGGAGCCTGCCAGGAGTGGGAGGACAGAGGTGGGTAGCCAAGGTTGGGGCCAGTGTCTCCTGTGCACCCTTGCCTCGCCAAGACTGTTCCTACCCCAATCCACACTCACACCTTGGCGGCCTTTATTTATTTTGTTCCCCCAGTGCAGTCACTTCTCTGGGGAAGGGCTGGGGCACTGGGCCTGTATTTAATAAACACAAACCCAGATGGAGCAGCTGTTTGCCTCGGACCCCTCGTCATCGACCTGCCCTCCATGTCTGCTCCACGCCCACGAGGGAGGAGGGTGGGGAGCAGTTTGTGGACAGTTCCCTTCGTCTACATCATTTATTCCTCACAGTGGCTCTGCAGGATTAGCACTATTGTCCTTTTTTACAGATGGGGAAACTGAGGCTCGGAGAAGTATCTTGCTCAAGGCCACACCGAGTATAATGGACAAAGTGGGATTTGAACTCAGATCCGATAGGTTCAAAAGCCTTGATTTTTCCACGTCTCCAAAGCTTTCTGCTTTGTGGGGCCCTTGTATATCCTCTCTCATCTTTGATCCTTTAGCTGCTGCTGGCTGTGAAATGGCTTTTATTGGGGACGGCAGGACAGATGCTGGGAAGGGGACCTGGAGTCTTAGATGGGAGGAAGGTGCTAAGGGTGTCCCAGCTGCCCCAGCTCTGCCCTGGGTCCTGAGGGGAAGCCCAGTGGAGACACCATGCCAGTCCTGTCTGCAACTGGAAGAAATGGGTGGTCATGCATCCTGCTTAGCCTGGAGAGTTCCAGGCCACAGCAGCATAATTATTACTAGTGGCCCTTTTCACTCTCAAGAGTGTTCCTGTTTGGACAAGGAATTCTATGGTCATCCTGAGAAGGGAGAAGTATGAGAGGTGGGCAGAGTTCAAAGTGGAAAAAGCAAGTTTTCTGCTTGTTAGACTTGAGCATGCAGGTCTCGGGCAGAAACCAAGTAGGATTCTCAGGCAGGACTGAGAGGGTAAGGGGGGTGGGGGGCTGTTACCAGGAATCTACATGGGTCTCCTCTGAACCATCAGACCATACCACTTCTCTGAAGGGGGCAGGACAGCCTGGACCAGACCACAAGCTAGTTCCTAACTGCCCTGTGCCTCAGTTTCCCTGTCTGTGAAGGGTGGATAATGTACTTACCCCATCGGGCTGTCGGGATTAAATGAGTTCACATTTGTAAAGGGCTCAGAGCAGTGGCTGCCACTGAGGAAGCACCATGTGAGTGTTAACTAAAATGTGGCTCCGGGGGAAGCAGACCCAGAGTGAGCCTCCTGGGCATCTGACAAGGGCACCCAGACCTCTCGGGACTGGATGGCAGATGCGGTCCACCTGCCAGAGCAGTGGGAGGTGGTGTCACCACCAGTGGGCAGGCCCTGCCGAGGAGCTGTGCTGGAAGGAGCAGGATGTCGATGGGAGCAAGGCTTCTTCCTCCACTGGGGCCTGCTCGCCACCCTTAACATTTGGAAGAAGGCACAGAAAGCCTTGTCAACTTTGTGGGACGAGAAGAAATACACAGAGGGAGCAGAGCCGCACGTGGAAATCCCTGCACTTGGGGGTCCGGAAAATCAAAGTGCAACAGAGGAGAGCCCTGCGACTACTGGACGGGACAGCAGATGGCCAGGGTCGGTGGCGATCAGGCTGCCCACAGACACGGTGGTGTCCACAGGAGCTGTGTCCACAGCCAGGGTCCCAGCACACCCCTTCCCAACACACTGAGGATTTGTCCCCTAGAGACAGAAGACCTGGAGCTCGGCTGGGGGTGCCCTCTTGGAAAGGTGACGGAAGGGGGACACATTACTGCTGCCTGGCCCACACCCCCAGGCACACCACAAGATGGCGTCATTCACTCAACCTCCAGTGTGCAAGAGACCCATGCTCAGGTCCAGGTTCAACCCCCACCTGTGACTCAGGACCATGCTCTCTCTAACAGACTGCTGGGGCCCCCTCCCTCCGAGCAGCCCCCACCCTCAAGCTGCAGTTACTGCCAACCCCTCGTCCCCACCTCAGGAGGACACCAAGCCCTGGGACTTCAGTGAACAGCTCCAGGGAGTGGAGCCGGGGCAGGAGCTATGCCCACCCGTAGCCCCAACCCTCACCCACCCCTGACTCCCTTCACTCCGGCCCGACTCAAGACCCCAGTCCAAGGGCCCCAGAGGGCCCTCTCAGACTCCCTCCTGCCCGCCCACCCCGTGTCGGAGCGGCCGGAGCACGGAGGCGCAGGAACAGAGAAGCTCGTCTCTCATCTGAGCTTTATGAGCGTCATTTCCTACGGCCCGACTCTGTCCACCAGCAGCTTACTTCGCTGAGGGGGAAGCAGGGCCGCCATGGCCCACTGGGCAGCTGAGGGAAGGAGTTCACTGGAATCAGACTGGAACCTCAACTTGGAACCCAGGGTGGTCACCCTAGACCAGCCTCCTAGTGCACTAAGCCCTCTGAGAGGGGAAGCCACTTTCCTGAAGTCGCCCGGCCACTCTGCTACTGTGCTGCATGCTGCACCGCCTTAGGGTCTGGCTCAAGGTCTGGCTCGGGGTCCGGCCTGGCATCTAGCTCAGGGTCCAGCCTGGGCCCCACCTCTGCCTCGGGTTCCGCAGGCCTGCTCTGGGGGCTCAACACCTGCAGGGCTTCAAGACTGCCAGGGTCAGCCACACCCACGGGCAGGGTCTCGGAGTCCCCTTCAGCCTCAGAATCCCCTTCAGCTTCAGCGTCCTCGGTGCCACTGGCCCCGCTCTCAGAACCCGGGACAGGCGGGATGTCCCGAGAGCAGTGCAGGCCACAGTGGGTGGCCACAGCCAAGAAGAGCCCGGCTAGGGCCACCTCAGATCCAGCCAGGTAGAAGATGATCTCATAGCTCTTCAGCACATCCACCAGGCGTCCTGCGGGGAGGGAGGATAACACAGAGGTAAAGGCCTGCAGGGACCCCACCCTTCACCTCCCCACACCCACTTGTCATTCGAGTCCTTAATAACGTCATTTCCCCTTCCTGGACCTCATTTCTAAGTGATACGGGGCCTCTGGTGAGGCAGCACTATACAGTTTATAAGGCACCCCCTGATTCAAGCCCTACTAGGGCCCTGTGATAATTAGGGGTGGGGTGGGGCATGGGGCTCAGCCCTGCTCTCCCAGGGACCTCCAGCTCTTGCTCTTCCCATTTTTACCCCGTGGTCTTCAGGGGCCTGGATCAGTCCTCCCCGACACCCCCCACCACCACCAAGGCTGCCTCCTGTCCCTCCCAGGAGGCCCATGAGCATCAGCCTGGGAGGCAGGGCTTGTGGGGAAGTAATACCTATTTCCATCTCTGTATTTTCCAAGTTTTGTATCACATGCAGATAGTACTTTCATAATCAGGAAAATCTTTTAATTGCAAATATTTTTCCCTAAAGTATGGTCCCTCTGGGCCCCACCCTCTCTTTGGAGCATTCTGTGGCTGCTCACAGCCAGCCATGACCCCTGGGTGGGCATCTCCGTGGCCTCGGTGCTCCCGTGCCTGAGCCCCTCTGAGCAGTACTCCTCTAAACCTGCCATCCTGGTCACTGCCCAGCCAGCACTGTCCCTGTCTCTCCCACACTCAGTCCTGTCCTGTCTTTGGTGTGATAAATCACACTGGCTTCACCTTCTCCTCACTCCATGTGCCTTCTTCCCTCCCCTTTAGGTCCACCCGGGTCAGATGAGAAAATGGAAAATGGGTTCCTGAGCTTCTGGGCGGGAAAGTAAGGCTGGTTTTGAGGCTTTTGGTGGTGGGCTTGGGTGTCACCCACACACTGGCTCAGGGACTCTGTTGCTCAACCTTAGATAAGATGACAAAGCTTCACGAGTAGGCTCGGCCACCCCAGCCCCGAAGAGAGGATGGGGAGCTCAGCCCATCTGCAGAGACAGGCAGCCTGAGCCTCTCTCCACTGTCAGTCCACCGCCCAGCCTGAGCTCAGCCCTTTCCTGCCCAATGACAGTTCCCCACTGTTCAGGACAACCTGAATGCCGCGCTTGTCCTGTCTGCAAAGTGGGAGAAATGGGTGGCCAGGCATTCTGCTTTGCCTGCAGAGTTTCAGGCCACAGCAGTGTTAATTATCACTAGTGGCCCTTTTCACTCTCAGAGTGTCCCTGTTTCGACAGTAAATTCTGAGATCATCCTGAGAAGGGAGAGGCGCAAGAGGCAAACGGAAAAAAACAGGTTTTCTGCTTATTAGTGTTGAGTGGCAGGTCCCAGGCAGAAACCAAATGGGATTCTCCGGAGGATCAGGAGTGTCGATGGAGGGATGGGTTGTCACCAGGAGTCCACATGGGTCCCCTCAGAACCACTGGACAGATGGCACCACCTTTTCAATTTTAGTTCCTGCCACACCTGTATGGGAACACTGTCTCCCAAACGCCCTGTGCCGATTCATACTGGGTCCCTCCCGGAAGCTCCTGCTCTGCTCCGTAGGAAGCTCTCCCTGACCACCCTGACCACAGTGATTTCCTGCTCCCCATGCCTAAGGGCAACAATGAATGTCTCCATTGTTGAAGACACCAGCACTTCTCCTTCTCCCTGTCCACTCACCGAGCATCCCACTCTGCTCCTGGGGCTGGTCCCCCAAAGACATGTCCCTATCTCTGTGGTCCTCAGAAGCTGGGAGACTAGAGCACCCAGACAAACGGTTTTGAAGTCGTGAGCATTTGGCATCAGGCAGACCATGTTCTACCTCCGGGACTGCAACCTGTACTAAGCCTTCATGCCTCGGTTTCCCCATCTGCGCAGTGAGAACAGGCATCTGTACTTCACAGGGCCTGTTTGAGAACTGCTGGAGGTGCCGGAGTGGCTTGTCAGTTCCCACCCAGAGCTGGTGGTCCCAGCTTGGGGGAGGGGCTAACTGGCTATGGGAGGGGGTCCACCCCATCAGGCTGTCTCCGCCTGATGAATCCCTTCCTCTCACCCCTGGAAGCGCCATCTGGGACCGGGAGAGGGCTTCCCTCGGACTTAGGGGGCACTATGCGGCGCCACTCCGCTTCCCGCGGGGCCCACCGGCAGAGGGTGGTCCGATGAGCACAGCCACGGCCTCGACGAGTAGCACCAGACCCAGCGCGCTGGGGAAGCGCGGAGCGCCTACGACTGACATGAGCACTTCGAACTGCAGCGCGCCCACCATGCCGTAAGAGAGGCCGAAGGCGATGCAGAAGGCCACCAGGGCGCCGTAGGAGCGCGCGCGCGCGCTGCCCAGGTCTGTGAGCCCGTTGGCCAGCAGGGCCAGGCTGAAGAGATAGGCGACGTGCGGCCGCAGGCGCGCTAGGCCCGCCAGGGCGCCGCACGCCGGCCGCGCCACGATGTCCACGAAGCCCACGATGGACAGCAGGAAGGCGGCGTCGGCGTCGGGCACGCCTGCGTCCTTGGCGTAGTTCACCAGCAGGATAGCGGGCACGAAGAGCCCGAGAGCCATCAGGAACTTCGTGACGACGTACACGGCGAAGGCGCGCTCAGTGCACACGGCCACGTCCAGCAGGCGGCCGCGGGCCCGGCCGCCAGGGGGCGTCTCGCGCAGGCGCAGCCTGGTGCCGCCCGCTTCTGCCTCCTCCTCCGTGACCGCGGCGCGGTCCCCGCGTGGTCCGGTTGGCGGCCGCATGACGGCGCCGCACGCGCAGCAGTGCAGCAGGAGGCCTCCGAGCAGCAGGAAGCCGCCGCGCCAGCCGAAGTGCTCCAGCAGCCTCTGGCCGAGCGGCGACAGCGCCGACAGGAACACCGGGCTGCCCGCCGCTGCCAGCCCGTTGGCCAGAGGCCGCCTTCGCTCGAAGTACAGCCCCAGCATGATGAGCGACGGCTGGAAGTTGAGGGCCAGGCCCAGGCCTGCGGGCAGGCGAGGCGGGCGCTGAGCCAGGCTCCCGCGGGCCCCTTCCCCTGCCCCCAGTAGGGAGTCAGAATCCGGGGAAACTGGGTCCGGAACTTCAAGGGCCACCCCTTGGGGGAAAACCGAGGACAGGTGGTATCCCATCCAGGACTCCCGACTCTTCCCCCTCGCCCCCCGCCCCGTATCTGCACAGCATTGGAGAAGAGTGGCGGGCCCCCTCATCTGTGAGCGCCCTCACCTGTGAGCACCCCAGCCGTCAGGTACAACTCCAGGAGGCGAGTGGCGAAGGAGGCCAGGACCATACCCGCTGAGGCCAGCAGCCCACCTACCAGCATCACTGGGCGACAGCCAAAGCGGGTCACGAGGATGCTGGACACGGGGCCTGTGGGCAGGGTAGGGTCATCACGGGGGCTGGACCAATCTCGCCGGTGGGCGCTAAACTCCAGGCTTTGCACCTCCCAGCCATGGAACGCCATGGAAGGCGGCTTTGAAGGGTTAAGGTCACCTCTGGGTTCAAGGACCCAGAGAGGGCAGTGTCTGGCCAAGTCACACAACTCAGCTGGGACAGATCAAGGAGACAGGGCCCTGCAAGGGGCCAGGGGAGGGACATGCCCTGGCCCAGAGCCCCCATTGCCACCACTCCTGAGAAGCCGGAGCCCAGAGGAGAAGGGGCGGATCCCATCCCTTTGTATTTATCTTCACACACTCCAGGTCCCTGCTTGGCACAGCCTGGAGTCCCCATGGGGCTGCCTCCCTAAGCTTTTTCCCCAGGGCTGGCGCGGAGGCAGGACCGGCAGGATGAGAACTGTAGGTTAGAGTGGACGGAAAGGGAAGGCTCTTTTGATCTGTTTCCCCACCTGTAAAATGGGTGGGCATGGGTTTGTTGGGCAGGAATGGAGGGGCCCTGCAGGCTGGCCAAGCTTGGCCATTGTCCTCTCCCTCCCAGGCTAAAGTTTCCTGGGGCTTCCGCCAGCTCTGGGAGTGCTCAGGGGTCAGGTGTCCTCTGCGGCCTGATCTGGGCGCTCACTCCTGGGCGGTGGTGCAGCAGGAAGGGGCCAGAGGGCGCTGACCTGTGCCATAGAGCATGGCGAGCATGATGGAGGACACCCAGGCTGTGTCGCTGTAGCCGGCACCGAAGTCGCTCATGAGCTCACGGAAAAAGACGCTCACGGCCTTGGGGAAGCCATAGGCGAAACCGGTGACCACAAAGCAGGCGCCCAGCACGGCCCAGCCCCAGCCGCCGTCCGGAGGGCCTGTTCCCCGCCGGGGGCAGCCAGCACCCATAGCAGAAGCCTGTGCTGGGGGAGGAGGCAGGAGGCGAGTGCGAGAGGGAACGGCGTGGGTCTGCAGCCCAGACGGGGTGGTGGGGAGACCCAGGATGGGGGAACGGAGGCACGGGGCTACCCACCCAGGCCTGCTTAGGCATGGAACCAGGAGGGGAAACTGATGTAGGAGCCTCCTTCAAGGGGCATCTGGAAGCGGGGGTGGTATCTGAAGGGGAGATAGCAGAGGGTCATTCCCACCTCAGACTTGACTTCCTGAAGGCACTTCTTGCCCCTCAGGACCTACTGATGGCAGGAGGGGGTCCTGGTGAGTGGGAGCGCTGGAGGTGCATAGGGACCAATGTCCCCAATGTGCACGTGTGAGGGCCTCAGGACACAGGGAACAAACACCAGAATGACAGACACCAGCCTGCAAAATAAACCTGTCTGGGTGGAGTTTATTTTCTTCCTGATCTATGTTCCTAATTCTTCTCAAAGAAAACGAATGACTATTGTCATTAGAGCTTTAGACCGGAAAAAAAAAAAGAAAGCTAAACCACATTACAACAGAAAAACATTAGCCTTGTCTCAGAAGCCAGGGAGCTGAGTTCCAATTCAGCCCAGCTCAGTGGTGGATTTGCTGTGTGACTTCAGCACGTACCCTCCCTCCCTGGGCTTCAGTGTCCCCACCTGTAAGATGGGGGGATTGATCATCCCCAGGCCTGGCACAGCTGGACCAGCCAGAAATCTCTGGCCAAGTGGGACCTTCCACCCCACAAGCCTCTGGCAACCCCTCAAACCCTCCACAGACAGAAGTATTCTTTAGTGTCTCATGCCCCTGGAACTCCACGTACCCCATGACAGGTGAGGAAGGTGGCCCTCAGAGGCAAGACAGAGCAGCCCAGAGCTGGGGCGGGAACCCAGGGCTCCAGGGCCAGCCCCCTGCCCTTCCTCAGGGCCCTGGTCAGTATCTGGGACTCTGTCCCTCCCCTCCCCCAAGTCCAGGTGCTGGCTTTTCCTGTCATCCTACTGGGTTCAAGAGTGTAGTCCCTGGCAGCCCTTGCTCCACTCACCTGTCCAGTGGGTTTGGGGATGCAGCCTCACATCTCCTGGGGCTGCTCCCTAGCTCCCTGGTGAAGCTTATCCTGTTGGTGCTCACAGCTCACAGGCTTCCCACCAGCCCAGGATCAGCAGCTGGCCTGGTTCCCCCGCCCCATCCCTCCCCTCTCAGGGCCTGGGGCTTAGATAGGTCGGTCCTCCAGCCCTGCTAAGAGGCTTTGCCGAGGACAGGGAGAAGGGACAGGGCAGTGAGCTCGGGCCGGGCTAGGACCCCATGAAGGGGCTCCCTGTCCCAGGCTCCCCAGGGAGAGAGGAGGAGGCCCCCTCAGCCTTCTGGAGCCTCAGGTCAGGACACACAGAGCCTTGTCCAGGGGGTCCTAATCCAGGGCTGGGGCACAGCCCTGCCCTGGGGAGACCCCACGGCCCTAATCGCCTGACTCCTCGCCCACCCCACCCCCAGGCCACATTCCAGGAGGGGCCACAGTGGGCCCTTTCCTAGGATAAGGCTAATCCCAGCCCCGAGAGTCTTGGAATGTGGGGAGGGGAGGGTCCAGAACAAAGAGCACTTGTGTCCCAGGCCACCTGAGGATGACTTGCTGGTGGTCCTGGGCCTCAGCCACTATTTTCTGGGACACTCACAAGCAGAAATGAGACTAGGGTAGAGATGAGGGGTACAGCTTGAGGGCTTTAGGGCAGCTCAAAATGAGGGCCGTGAGGGCCTGGGAGTGAGAGTTCTCCCAAGGAAGAACCAATGGCCTTCAGGACCCCTGGACTCCATTCTCCAGTGAGGGACACCCTGTGCCCTGTCCCCCAAATCAGACACCACTATTCCTGCTGCTGCGTCCACTTCCTTTATTTGTCACCATTTACAAAAATTAAAGAGGGGGATATGTGGGGGGCGGGGGGCAGGGGGGCAAGGGGCTCCTCCCCACTGGGGCAGAGAAGGTGGAAAGAGGTTGGGTGCAAGAAGTAGGCCCCTCAGGGAGAGTCCTGAGGCCCCTGGAAGGGAAGACGCTGTTCTGTCCCCCAGTTCCACCTGCTTTACTTAGAAGGCCCCAGGCCCCAGGGCAGCGCCCTCGGAGCTGCTTGGGCGGAGTGGTGAGTGGAGGGCAGCCACCTGGCTCCTGGATCCACTGCTGCTGCTGCTGCTGCTGCCGCCAGCTCTGGACACCCCCGAGCAGTGTAGGGGTGCGAACTCAGATCCTGGGTGGAGGCAGGTCCTCAGCGGATGAGAGGCGCTGAGCGGTCGTTAGTGACGGTGGGACGCAGCTTCACGGTGGCAAAGGGATTCGTGCCCCTGTAAAGGGAGAGGCTGGGCTGAGGGGGACGCATCCCCCCTAACTGGCTGCAGGCCCAGGGAAGGCAGGAAGGCAGCTGAGCTGGCATCCACCCCTCACCTCCTGGCCCAGTGGGTCACCTGCGCCCACCCCAGCAGTGGGGCCCTCCTCTGAGCCTGCCCCCTCCCCGACAGAGGACTCACTTCGGGAAGAGCTCCGGGGGCTGCTGCTCCCACGCCATCAGTTTCTGCAGTGGGGGAGGAGGAAGGCCTTGTTTGATGGTGAGAGCGGCAAGTGAGCGCCCCCTCCCATCACTTGCCCGCTCCCCCGAGGAGGGCAGAGGATGGACCAGAGGACCCCTGGGGTGCCAAGGGAAATGAGGCCCCGCATTCTGAAGCCCAGAATTCTGTGGGTTTCAGATCTGAGAAGGCTCTGGGCCAAAGTACTGTGTCCCAGGGCTAACGCCCCCATAAGACTGCGGTGACTCCCACGGGGTGGTGCCCTCTCTACCCCCACGACCCAGCCCACGTTCCGACCAGGTCCTGCCTCCCTTGGGTGGGGAGGCCTTCTCCCATGCTCCCAGTGGGGCACTGGGGCTCCAGTCCTTGACACCAATGCTTTCCCCCTCCCCTCTACCCCAGACTCAACCCTATCCCACCCTCCCTGCACAGATGGACAGACAGAGGCCGGACAGAGCAGGGGTTCCCTGGTATCCTGCCTCCCTGCCCACTGGATGGCCCAGTGCTGAGGACAGGCTGGGTGGCTCACCTTAATGTCACTGGCCACCCCCATGCTGCCCATGCTGCTTTGGCGGCTGTCAGGCAGGGGTGCAGGTGCGGGGCTAGGGACCCGGCTCGGGGTGCGGGAGCGGGACTGGCCATCCCAGTACTCTGAGGGGGTGGTGGAGTTGCCTGGCCAGTCTAGCAGGTCATCAAGGCTGTGGCTTCCCCGGAGTGGGTAGGACCTGAGACCAGAGAAAGGGGGAGGGGGGAGGCCAGAGTCAGGCCCTGCTGCACCCAGCCCCCACGGGCTGGGCCTCCCCCTCTGTGCCTGGCTAGAGGGCAGTCCTGAGAGGAGGCTGAGGGCTGGACACAATGACCTTCACATAAAGAGATAAGATGTGGTTCTCCAGGGGCTAAGGGGGCTGGGCCCACCCAGGACTGCAGCTCACAGATGCCTCCCATGGTGGGTGCTGCCACCCCCTGAGGTCCCCATCCCTGCCCCAAACCTGGCCACCCAAGTACCTACCTGGAAGGTTGCTCATTCTTAAGGTTCATGGAGGTCATGGGGCTCAGGGGCACCTCCTCCACAGGCTTCACATAGGCCTCAGGGAACCAGCCACTCCTGCAGGGTGGGGGCAAAGGGCCCCTTAGGCGATGCCCAATAACAGTGACCAGAATAACAATTCTGCATGGAGCAATACTGAGCACTGCTGCATGCCAGGCCTTGCTCAAAGGGCTCTATGGCTAGTAACTCATTTAGGCCTGTGAAGGAGGGCTTTCCTGGCATTTGAGGCCTTGCTATTGGCCCTAACCCACCTGTCCAACCTCGCACCCCACCAGGTTCCCTTAGGGAGGAGGAAGTGAAGTCCAAGAAGGAAAGCGATTTGCCCAAGTGACCAGGATGTATTCCCTCACTCACTGAGCACCCCCCATGTGCCGGGCACACAGTGCACAGACAACCCTGCCCTCCAGAAGCTCCCGACGTGGTGGGGAGACAGACCCCCAACAAATGATTACCAGGCAGGGAGCTAAGGGTGAGAGGGACTGGGGTGGGGTGGGAGAGAGACCACAGGCAACTGTAGGAGCCCAGAGGAAGATGCACCCAAGCCCCAGGTGCCTGACTCCAAACCCAGGGATCCTTTCACCTGAGTCCATCTGCTTCCCTCCACCCAGACCCCCTGGCTCGGGATGATCCTGTTCACCAGAACGCCAAGTCCAAACCCCTCCTTGACAGCCCCACCCCTGCTCCTGGAGACTTCGTGTGGGCTGGGGGCTCATTACTGCATCTTTAGAGCAGCTGGGGTTGGGAGGAAGTCACTATCAGCGTTCCTTAAACTTTTGAGACTCCACAGAACCCATGAGATTCTTGTAGGATATCTGGGAGAATGTTCTCCAAAAAGCCACCTTAGACTCAAAAAACCCAATCAACAACATCCTCACCTAAAGGTAACAGTGATGGTTACTGTTACATGTCAACTTGGCTAGGCCATGATTCCCAGTATTGTGTAACTATCCTCCACTTTGTGATCTGATGTAATTGTCCTCCATTTTGTGGTATTGTGTAATTATCCTCCATTTTACATGTTGTAAACCCTAAACCTCTATATGTTAACGAGGCAGGATTAGTGTGGGGTGTATCTTGCATCACATCCTTGCTACAGGGCATGACTCAAGTCACAACCTTACTCAAGTCACTGCCCGACTCAAGTATCTGATGTAAGGGGAGTTTCCTTCATGGTGTGACCGGCATCCAATATACATGGACACTCTGGCAAAACTTGCGCTGGATCCTGCATCTGGCTTGTCATCATCTGAATTTCAGTTCTTGGGACTTCAGCCTGTCATCTGACCAGCCGATTGTGGGATTCTCCAGCTTCCACAGCCCCATGAGCCAACAGCCTACCATCTGACCTGCGATTGTGGGTTTGTCAACCCCTGCAACCATGTGAGTCAGGAGAAGCCTCCAGCCTGACACCTGACCCACCATGGATTTGGGACTTGCCAGCCCCCACAACCCGTGAGCCATTTCCTTGAGACACATCTCTCTATGTCTTTTTATATATACCCTTCACTGGTTTTGCTTCTCTACAGAACCCAGCCTAAGACAGTAACTGAAGCTATTTCAGCACTACCAGAATAAAACCATTTCAGTATATTTTATTTCTGTTTCACCATAAAGTGCCTACTGATGATAAAACTGGGCATCCTTTTTTCTAACCTATGAAGTACAGGAAGAATAATAATGTTCCCGGGAATGTGGTTTGAGCGCACTGGTCTAGAAGGTTTTATAGCTGGGTCCCCAGGAGGTTTGCTACACATCTGTCATGGGGACTTGCAGGGTGGCACCATGCTGCCTTCTGCCCGTGGGTCTGCACAGCAGCACCCCCAGTGGGTGTTTGTGCCATTTGTGTTCTTGTCATTTCTCTACCCATAACCTGCCCTTCCATTCACAATCCATGAAGTCACCTGCACCTAACTATGAGCCTATCCATCCATGCACCCACTGACTCATCTATCATCCAGATGGCAACCACCATGGACCACCCATCCATCCACTGTGTATCCACTAATCCATCCATCCACACACTCACATCCCCTGCCCACCCACCCACTCACATATCCCCCACTCATCCATCAGTCTATGTATGCACCCACGTCCATGCATCCTCCCATGCCTCCAAGCACCCAATCAGTCTCCAACCACCCACCCATTACCCATCCACTCACATAAGCATGCATCCACCCATCCACACAATCATCCCCTTATCCATTGGTCCACCTGTCCACCATCCACTAACCCACGCGACCACCCAGCTGTCAGCTCCTTGTTTTATGCATCCATTTGTGCCCCTCTACTTTTTCTCTTTCCATTCCTTCTCTCCTGCAGCATCCCGCCCATAAACCCCTTTTATTTTCTCCTGCAGAAAGAGTGACCCCTGCTTGCTCCTTTTTTGAGCTGCCAACTCCTGGGCTCCTCCAGGCTTGCTGGCGCCTGTGAAGTACTTCCCACCGCTCCCTCCACTTGTGGTGTTAGAAACAGCCCCAACTTAGGTTCTTTAAGGATTTCCACCACACGGACTGTAAGGAGCTGAGCGCTGTTCAGTCTCAGAGGTCCCAGCACAGGCTCTGCTCCTGGCCCAGGAGCCTCCCAGCAGTACAGCAGTCACCGCCCACCTCTCCCTTCCATCCCTGCAACCATATCTCAGCTCCTGGGTTGACTCAGGGTACAGAGATGGAGCTACCCCATCAGATTTCTGCAAGGATCCACACTTTCAAGAAAACTTTCTCATTCCCCTTTGTCCTCTACCTACCACCCTCACGTGGCTACCCTGAACTTGGGAAAGTGGCTCTTCCTACCCCGACTGAACAGGTGAGAAAACTGAGGCTGGGGGAGGGCATTGGTGGCGTGGAGTCCTCTGAGGCCCCAGGGGAGTGGTCCGGGAAGTCTCACTCAGGGCTAGAGGCCAGGCCTCCCGGGTCTTCTTTCCACCCTACCCTGCACCCCAAGGCTCCCACTCACGCGGAAGAGCCCTCCAGCTTGCCGTACAGCCAGCCGTTCTTGGCCTCGGTCACTAGCACCTCCACGACGTCTCCAGCCGAGAAGCGCAGCAGCGTGTGGTTGGCGCCCTCGGAGTGGGAAACCAGGGCGCGGACTCTCCTGGGGCCACCGCTGCCACCGCCCCTGCTGCCCGGGCGCTCGCCGAAGGAGTTGGAACGCGAGGGCTGGGCGCTGCCGGTGTAGAGCGAGGCTGGGGACAGGGGGAGCGGAAGAGGGTAGCGGCACGTGGGTGGGAAGTTCGCTTTCGAGTCTGCCCTCGATCCCTCCTGCTGCAGGGTAACCCCAGTTCCTCTCCCTGCCCCTGGGCTCCCAGTCTGTGTCCCTGTCCCTCCCTCTGCGTCGCGGGGACAGGACACTCACTGGCGGACGGCGTCCGGGGCAGGGAGCGGCGGTCAAGCTCCAGCTGGGACGCGGACCTGGCCTCGGCGGGCTCGGGGCCGTAGGAGCCCGAGCCGTGCCGACTGCGGGGGGAGCCGAATTCTCCCAGGGGCCTCTGGGGCTGCGAGGGGAGACGGGCAGGGGAGACGGGCAGGGGAGGGTGGGGAGGGGGGGCGGACCGGCCGCCTAGTCCAGCCCCCACCCCCAATCCCAGATGTCGGCGTAGGGGTTCTGGGGCCTGCGGCCGAGCCACCGCTGTGGCGCCGAGACCGCGCCCGGCCGGAAGGGCGGGCCAAGGGGCGCGCGGTAGAGCGTGGCCCTGGGGGGCAGGAGGCTCCAGGCTGCAGGCCTCAGGCTCCAGGGGCCCACGGGGGGCGCGAGGGGCGGTGGGGGCTCGAACAGCGGCGGGGGCGCGTAGAGCGGCGGGGGTGAGAGCGGCGGCGGGGGTGAGAGCGGCGGCGGGGGCGCCCAGGGCCTCACCATGTCCAGGCGGGTGGGCGTCAGGCGGCCCGAGGGGTATGGTGGGCCCAGCACGGGGCCCAGCAGGCCTGGGGAGTGGGCACGGGACGGGCTGCGGCTGGCTTCAGACTGCTCTTTCCACAGCAGCACGCGGTTCTGCAGCGTCCCCCGGGCCTGGCCGGGCGGGCACAGGGGTCAGCCATATCCAGGGGCCCCCACAGTCATGAAAGCTCAAGACTGAATTTTCTAGCTGGAAGGAGAACTTTGGGCCCTCCCAGCATCAGCCCCTACCCTACTTTGTCAAAAAGTCCCTCAGTTTTACTTGGGGAGCTGCCGCACCCCTCTCTCTGTGCTTCGGGCAGAGCTGTCCACACAGGCCAGCTTCAGTGATAGGTGCAGGACCAGGCTTGGCCACTCAGGTCACTCCATCCTCCTGGTGATAGCAATGGGCTCAGGGATGGCATTTATCCAGAAACTGTGACCAAATAACCCAGTCCCAGGACTCTTCCTTTAGCTACTTGTAAAAATAAACTCACCCTCACAGGTTTGCTAAATAGGTAGAGAGAAGCAATAGACAGTGACACATTTCTAATAACATCATTTGTGCTGCTGGATCCAGCTATACCTGAAACCCTTTAACTTACCAATAACTAGAATAATACCTTTTCTGCTTAAGCAATTTGAGTTAGTTCTCAGAAAGAGATCTTTCAAATACAGTTTTCCAGGCCAACCGTGTAGTCTGCATAAGCATTTCTTTTCTAGTATTCCCAGCATACTGCATCCATCTACCTCTGCTTGAATACTTTCAAGGCTAGGAAACTCAGCTGATCACATAATCCACACCACCTAGGATGGTCAAAGAGGTTTCGATTTTAGATCTGCTGTGCTCCCCAGCTATAAAGGCCTTTCCCTTCTCCATCCAAACCTTCCCCTCCCTCAAAGCCTAGTTCAAGCCTGTCACTTTAGGAATACAACTTCCCTTCATTGAGTTCTAACTCCTTGCCAGACCCTGTATTAAATGCTTTACCTGCATTATCTTATTTGATTCTCACAATAGCCCTGGAATGAAGGTGCTATTATTATCTCCATTTTATAGAAGAGGATATCGAGAGTCAGAGAAGTCAAGTGACTGGCTCAAGGTCCCACAGCCAGTAAGCGGTAGAGTGGCCTCCTGTGACTACCTTTCAATGGTTTCTCCCTTCAGTCTGGCCCAGCTGCTAAAAAACCTCATAATGATCTCAAGTAGCAAAAACAGGCCTGGAGCCTCACGTCACAGGAATGACTGGTCCAGTTGGTCATTAGGAGGACACCCCCTATTTCCTTGCAGTAATTAATTAGCAAAATAGCACAAAACCCCAAAGTCCTGTGTGCACTTGCATCATGGACAGCAAGCAAAGTGAAATCATTCGGTTCTGCATACCACCTTTTAAAAGGGACTTGGTCCAGTTTGAACTGAGGGGTTCTGAGAGGGGTGGACGTAGCAAGTCCCAGCACAGACAGCGCTCAACAGCCAGGTCATCGCTGGCTTCCCTCAGCCCTGCCCCAGGCAATTTAGACAATGGTCAGGCAGAAACACTGTACAGGGTTTCAATACCATAGAGCAGACCATGGGAGAATTTTAAAACTATGGAGTGGGAAAGGCCTTTCTAGGTATGACAGAAAACCCATAAGCTCTAAAAGAAAAGATTGATAAATTTGACCAAGTGAAAAATGATTTTTTTACATGGCAAAACCTACCATAAGCAAAGTGAAATAATTTCAGTACCATCTAAAGAGCTCTTGCAAATTAATAAGAAAAATGGGAACATACACCAAAACATAAAAAGATGCCAACCTCACTTGGAAGAGAAGTATAAAGTAAAACTATACTGAGATACTGTTTTTTACCTTTCAGATTAGCAAAGATCAAAAGGTTTGCTCACACGCTGTGTTGTCAAAGGAGTGTGTGGAAACAGAATCTTATACATTGCTGGTGGAAATGTAAATCAGTGAAACCAATACCTATACCCTTGGGCTCACCAGTTCTGTTTCTAGGAATTTGTCCTAGAGATGTGCTTGCACAACTGCAATAAACCCAAAGAAGCTGAGCGTGAGGTAGGAAGGCATGTTCTTGACTAGACTTGGACTAAGTAAGGACTGATTACTGGAGATGAATGAGAAAGGTACCTTACCGTGCCCAGGCTGGGGCTCTTATAGTTCTTTAAATCTTGTTCTAACTGCATTCGGCTTATAAGTATAAACCGACCGCTGTTGAGTCAATTCTGACTCATAGCAACCCTAAAGGATAGAGTAGAACTGCCCCATAGAGTTTCTAAGGAGCAGCTGGTGGATTCCAACTGGCAACCTTTTGGTTAGCAGCCAAACTCTTAACCACTGTGCCATCAGGGCTCCTGTAAGTGTGGTGGTGTTGTTGTTAGGTGCCGTCAAGTCGGTTCTGACTCATAACAACCCCGTGCACAACAGAACGAAACACTGCCGCGTCTCCCACCATCCTCACAATTGTTGCCATGCTTGAGCCCACTGTTACAGCCACTGTGTCAATCCATCTCGTTGAGGGTCTTCTTTTTCGCTGACCCTTTACTTTACCGAGCGTAAGTATAGTAACAGGTAAATATTTGTGCTTAGCTATCTTAGGAGTTACATCTTATATGTTCTAAAGGCCAGCTGGGTCAGACACCATGCTACCTGTTCCCCGTGCTGAGGGGAAGTGTGGCTGTTCAATCCACAGCCCTCTCCCGAGGGGCGATCACCCACCAGGAGGCAGCCAAGGGAGTCCGTCCCCACCCCCCACCCCAC